GGAAGTCACTTCTTTATATTTTCTTTTTATTATAGTCTGACTTTTTCTTTTTCTTTTTTTCTCCTTGCACTTTTTACTCTTATTTTCTTTAAGTTTAGTTTGTATTAGATCTTATTATAATCAAAATTTTTAATTAAATTAAAATATAATTTTAATTAAAATTATATATAAAACAAAACCGAAGAAAAGTTATAAGAAGAGTAAAAATACAAAATGACTAACTGAACATTTCTGTATTTCCAGGCTATGATATGTCTACCTTCATCAGACGATATAGCAGATACTTGAATGAAAAAGCACTTTCTTATAGACTTGTAGCAGTTGATTTCACCAAAATGAAAAGAGGGTAAGGTCACATAGATTTTCATGTGTTTGGAGGGCGGATTTGTCATCCAGATGTGGGGTAGAACCAAACTGATAAAACCAGGTTCAGCTTAAGGGAAATATATAGCAAAAAGAGAAAGCGAGAAAGAGAAAGATCTAAATTGCTACATCACTTTGAAGTCATTATGATACTTTTTTTCAGTTAACTTTTTCTGCGTTTTGAACATGGGTATAACACATTAATAGGAAATATTCCTCAAAGGAATTCAATGATCTGATTTGAAAATTGAAAAATTCCTTTCCTTTACATATTTTTTCCACTTTCTTGATTCCAGAAGGCTTATTCAAGTGCGTGCACAGAAAAGAGCAGTTTTAGTGGATTCTGATACATAGGGTGTCATTTCATAGCACTGCATATGTTATTCTGATAAACTTTCCAAGTATATTTTCCATTATGTCTTTGAAGGATTGATGGTGTGATGAGAACAATGAATACAGAAAAACTTTTGAAAACCCTGCCAATTATTCAGAATCAGCTGGATGCACTTCTTGATTTTGATGTAAGCATGGGAATTGCTCTTTATTGCTATAAATCATAGTTGGGCTTATCCAAGGGAATGAAATAAATTGTGTTTTTACTTCCTCTTGCTTAACTGTTTAAATTTTCTCTCTTTTCTACTCAGGCAAACCCAAATGAACTAACCAATGGCGTAATCAATGCTGCTTTCATGCTCCTCTTTAAAGATTCCATTAGGCTTTTTGCAGCCTATAATGAGGGGATCATTAACCTGTTAGGTATGTGAAATGAAAATGAAAATTTGTTTAAACTTAAAAGTGGAGGCACTTAAATATACGTCTGTGGTTTTCTAGACATATTCTGTGTGCAACATCCTTCTTCACTCCTTTACATTTTATCTTGTATGTTCATTATTTTGCCTTATTTCTCCCCTGCTCACGCACACATCTATCCCTTGACTCACACGTAATAGATTTACTTATTCTCTTCTCTGTTGCATTCTTTCCCATCACCCACATGCAGCTTCTTCTGCCTTTTATCCATAATGTCAGAAGTTGCTTAAAAAAAGAAAAACTGCTATTGTTACACAGTCCTGGCCAGCTGGGATGTTAAAATGTTCCGTAACACTTCAGCAACTTAACCAGTTCTCAGGGAACACACACTTCACTTGCCAAAATCAACAGCTGCGGAAGTTTCAAGAGTTGCAGTCTCTACTGTTTGTTTATTTGTTTGTTTCCTTGTACTACGTTAATCTGAACTTTGGAGGTAGGAGAGGGAATAAATTGACAAAAGTGTGAACAACATGATTAAGCAAACCATGTATGAACCAAACAGTCATCGTGTTTAATAAAATTAAGACTTAAAAGTGTACATACCACATCAGGTTCTGATGGCTTGGAGGACGTGGAAACTTGATTGTCGGTATATTGATGAAGACTGAATTCTTAAAGTATTCTGAATGTAGATACATTTGTGTTGCCAGCACGTTACAAAACTTAATGGGACCATCCTGATCTCCATAGTAATGATAGAATTGTGAAAATTTGTATTCAACTCTGAAAAAGGCCTTGAGTGGCTCAGAAGACATTGCCATAGAGTTAGTAAAATCCATCAGTAAACTTCACTAAAGGCTCCTTGGGAATAAATCGGTGGGCTTTTTCCTTCGTTGCCTGAGATTTATAATAAAATTTAAAATGGAAAGTAGAATAATAGAATTCTCATCCACAATTGAATTTAGTTTCCATCTGCTCTTTTTTTTTTTTTAATCACTTTGCTGAATTCCACAGGTTAGAAATATTTTAATATGTATCTCTCGAAGACTGTTAGTTTGCGTAATTAATGTTGTAATAGCCTGCAAAGTCATCCCCTGGAGTTACAAAGGCAAAGCCTTTTATAATGTTGCTATTATTAATTTGTGGCCTAACAGAGATAAAAGCCTGTTGTAAAGCTTTTCACTTGCAGGCAGTTTTTATTTGTCCTGGATAATGACATGTGAGAGCTTATAACCCCATAATAAAAATAACAGTAGATTCATAGATATTAGTTAAGCTCTTGGTTAGGATGTATTTTGCTTTCTCAGCATCCCATCCCTAATAAAATACGTATGTTTGTAGCCTTTTATTTACAATATCTTTTCTTTGAATTTTATGCTTCAGAAAAATATTTTGATATGAAGAAGAACCAGTGCAAAGAAGGTCTGGATATTTACAAAAAATTTTTAGCCAGAATGACCAAATTATCAGAATTCCTCAAAGTGGCAGAGGTAAATAATTCCAGTCACATCAGCAGTATTTCATTTAGCTTTTCTGTACTGGTACAGTAATAAGTGCATGATTGTAGTTCTTGCCTCATAATTTCCTGCAAAAGTAGGTTTTATGTGGTTGTTGAATGTAAATGTCACCTAAACCTTATACATTTTAAAGGGATATTTTGAAAGTCTGATTTCTATTAATTGTAATTAAGAGATGTCTGTGCTGAGGTATTTACTGAAGGTGTTTTTCCAAGTGGTGTCAAAAATTCTAACAAGCTATTTATTGCTATTTATGGTATTTGAAATGGATCAACACTTAATATTAAAATTTACTGTGGAAGTGGCATTTAGAATTGTACCAGTTCAGAAAGCACTCCGTGTCCTCCCTGGTCCCTTAGCTTTTATGTAGACATTCAGATCCACAGTTCTTTCTTTTCATTGCCACTGCATGTAGTAATGTACATTTTTTCCCTTTTTTGTGAACCCAGCAAGTTGGAATTGATCAGGGTGACATTCCAGATCTTACTCAGGTCAGTGTACATTTCATATTAATTTAACCCCAATCCTTTGTGCATTTGTGATTTAACCGTGTTCCATTCTATACATTCTGAGAATTCATTTTCTTCCATATATATTATATATGGAAATACATGCCATTTTTCCTGTGACCTGTGTGTGCTTGATCAGTAACAAGTTGTTTTAAGTGTTCTTTTCGTGAGCTACTCTGGAGATTTTGTTACTCAAGATTTGGGGATATTACACATACGTTACAACAAGACTGTTTTGCTGAAACACATAATGGTACTGTGCCCGAGAGAGCTTTTGCTTTATTAAAATACTAGCATCTTCCCCACTTTTATCAGCTTGAGGGCGGTGCAGCAGCTGTCCCCTACTTAACAGGAAGGGTGAGGTTGTAGTTCAGTGCTTAGCCCATAAAATTGAGTTGCAGAGATTCATAGGTTCAGTTGTCTCTTTTAAGAAGTGCCCGCAGGAGAAACTCTTCCATGTGAATTTTTTGATAACTGTGATGCTGAATAGACTATACTGGATAGACGTGCATAAGGTAGCTTACCTATGTTACTGTGCCTTCCAGGGAATAGTATGAAAGAAAAATTGTGTGCTGTGATGTTATTGGTGTTAATACACTGGGCATAACATCGGCATCTGTAGTGAGAGCCACGAAGATATGGGGCAATGATACTTTTACTGTTAAGGTCCCAGTACTAAGGGCTGTTTGGGTTTGGCTGGGAGGGAACAGGCTTAAAATTAACCCTGACAAGACTGAGTGGCTATGGGTGCACGGTTGTTCTGATGTCAGAGATTCTCCATCTTTGGTTCTGAAAGGGGTGGCACTTTCCATTCAAGACTGGTGCATAGTTTGGGGGTCCTCCTGGACTCACAGCTCCTTCTCAATGAGCACATGGCAGCTGTAGCCAGAAGGGCTGTTGCACGGATTCATCTGGTGCAGCAGTTGTGCCCTTTCCTGGACCAGGAGTCCCTTGTCACAGTCACTCATCTTGCATTGTGCTCTCGTGGGGCTGCTCTTGAAGACCACTCGGAAGCTACAGCTGGTCCAGAATGCGGCAGCGCAAGCCATTATGGCCGCACCTCGGCATGTCCATGTAATGCCTCTGGTATGAAAACAGCGCTGGATATCATTGAGCTTCTGAGTGCAATTCAGGGTGCTGATTATCACCTGTAAAGCCTTTCATGGCATGGGGTCTGGCTAACTCAGGGGAAACCTTTCTCCCATCATTTCTGTCTACCCCATACAGTCTGAGAAGGGGTGTGTGTTTCATGCCTCATCTGTTAAGTAACCTTATCTGATGGGACCTAAGAAGCACAACTTCTCTGCCTTGGTGTTTGCCCCCTGGGATAAAATCCCCCAGACAGTGAGACTGCCCTGACCCTGGAAGCTTTTAAACAACCTCTGAAAACCTGTTTTTCCCTTGTGTTTGGGATAAGTCAGGGTGTACCCATCTGGTGTGCAGTGTCTGTTTCAGTTAGGGTATGTCTGTTCTCCCATTATATTTACTGTTATATTTACTTTTGTTTTTGTTTTTAGGTGTTGTATCTGTTTTTAATCTGTACAGTTCCCAGAGTCAGTGTTGAGTTGGTCAGCCTTATAAATCTAAACTACTTAAAAAAAAAATCCTTTACTTGGAGAAAGTGTTGCTTACTTTTCAAGACAGTGTTAAGTGGACAAGGCAAGACTTTAACTTTACATTTTGGAGGGCATTGCTTTCATTGTGCTAACCCTGGGCTAGACCGATGAGCCAACAGTCTAATTGTGTTTAAGATGGCGTTAGATGCTTGTGTGAAAGGATGTACAGAATTAGCACAACAAAGAGACTCTGTAGACAGTGTGAAAAATTCTTCTTACTAGCCAGCTTGTAACTTTGATCATTCACACACTGTAGTAGTCATATAGTTCCATCAAATGCCTCTGTAAATTCCGGTAATTTGACTCCGTCAGTATGCTGACACAGTGCTTTAGCCTTTTCTGCCTTTTTGCCTGTGCTGCCAACCCCATCTTACCCCCTTCCTTCCTGTTTGCACAGTTGCTAGTTAGCCCTTTTTTTTTATTCTGCTGTCCACTTTATCCAAGAGAATCATTTGGCTTGCATTACCTGCAGATTGCCTTGTCAGCAAATCAGTGCTTCTTATCTGTGTCAAACACTGGGATGTCAGGTGGAGAGAAGGGAGTCATTGTGTCTCCTTGCCTCTAGATCGCTCCTTTTTGAAAATGTTTGCTTGCAGAATATTCAGTGAAAGCTGAGCCTTTTTAAAAATCACAGTACTGATCTCCCCAGGGAATATTTACCATAAGCTGGTGATGTATTGAATTTAACCTGATAGGAACTGGAAAGACATGTAGTTTATGTAGAGCCCTATTTGAATTACGAGGGATTAAGGAAAATGTGGTAAGGAAAATAAAAATATTAGCACTGGGCAAGCTTCACTGGATTAGTTGCATTTAGATTGCTTTGGCATATATGGAAATTAGGTCAGTAAGTACAAAACCAAAATTGATTCTTTATCCAATACTCTGTGTTTGAAATTAACATAGCCTCTCAAGCAATCTAAATGCAACTAATCCAGTGAAGCTTGCCCAGTGCTAATGTTTTTATTTTCCTTACCACATTTTGCTTAATCCCTCGTAATTCAAATAGGGCTCTGCATAAACTACACATCTTTCCAGTTCCTATCAGGTTAAATTCAATACATCACCAGCTTATGGTAAATATTCCCTGGGGAGATCAGTACTGTAATTTCTCAAGGTTTTAGTTAGTTTGATTGATCAGAACTCCCATTAATACGATTGTCATGCATTTAGAACAGAATTTGTAAGGTACGGTTCTCTTGGATATAAATCAGTTGATACATTTGTTCTCCCATAGCACATCCTGCTCTGAGTTTACAGTGTGTAAATGATCTTTCTCTTATCTCTTAATTTTTACTAAATTGTCTCCCTAAATATGTGTAATTGGGATTTCTTCCAGGGCCAGTCCAGTTTTCAAACAGGAAAAGCAGCTGGGGAAGGTGACACTCAATTACTGAAAAACAGCCACTTGGCATTCTCCTCACAGTCCTTCCTTTAATAAAGGAAGCAGGCCATTGGATTCAACAGTGCAAACATCCAACCCAAACTGGCATGCTCCCATTCCCCAGAAAAGAGGGGTATAACTATAATATTTAGTTTGGCCAGTGAGTCCAGTTAAAATCAGTACTTTCTATAATTACACAGCAAGGGAAGTTCAGCAGTAGAAAAGACTGTCTGCGTTAATGATACTGTACTTGAGGAACTCTTGATTTCTCTACAAAAAGCCTTGAAATCCACTTGTCTA